ATGCACATGTGCCCTGCGTGATTTCAAGTTGCTAGGTCTGGGGCTTGAATTATGGTCAGCTGTGTAGGAATCCAGTGTCTTAACCCTCACACTACCTACTGGCCTATGGATAATTTTTTAATTATAATATATATTTTTAAATTTACATTTAATCAGTGTACATCTTCACAGCATACAGAGTGTTTTTTTTTTCCATGAATAGAGTATATATTACTATATACATTATTATCACCACATAACTTTATTTTGTGTCTTTTAAATTTTTTCCCCCTGGAGTTTCCTGGTGCAAAGGTTGTTCTGCAGCACAATGTAGGCCTTGAAGGAGCTGTGATTGTAACATACTACAAGATGAGTTTCCCTGAAACTTGCAGTTCTTTTATAACTCACAAAATTGAGGCTGCAACAACCAGCTCTGCAGGTGATAGGTTTAAGGCAAATCTTGACTTTAAGGAGAAAGAGAAGAAATTTGAAGAGGAAGGAAATTTGAAGAGGAAGGGGACCAGTTTGTAAAGAAATTTGGAGGGATTTTTCCCTTCAAAGTAAAAGATGGTCCCGGGGGTAAGCCACCTGGATGCTGGATGTGAAGAATGACAAAGGATCTGTACTTTTTAACTTAGATTAGAAAGCAGACTGTAAAATCACAAGGAATGACTGACTGACTGACTTTGATGACTAGTAAAATGAACCCTCAGTCTGCCTTTCTTTTTTTTTATTAATTATTTTTTATATACATTCAATCACATTGTTTAGCTTACAATGTGAGCATTTCAATATGTGAACATTTCTCCCCAGTCCCGTTGATCAAAATATCTTCAACCAATAACACCACACCTCCCTATCCCGTCAGTGTTCTACCTCAGTATCCCTTCTCCAAATGTCCTTCGTTAGGCCCCACTCCTCCATACATACCTCATCTGACATTCACAGCAAATTGAAAATTGCTGGCAACATGGGCCTGGCTATGAAGTTACAGAATCTTCTGCTTTAGCCAAGCAAAGCTAAGCTGTAAAGAACTCCTTTTGGCTACTTTTGAAAATCAAGATGAGATATATAGATATACATACTTATATTTCATTATCAAAACTTAGGTTGAAACCACACACTGGCAAATAACATGAGATAAATTTGTTTCTAAATGAGTGTGACCAATCTTGTTTTTCCTAAACTCTTGGTAATACTGCTTTGCTGAATTGCATATAATTTCATTACAAAGTTTAGGTGGTAATTACAGTTTGGGGTAAAATTAAGTTTCAGAATAAAATTAAGAACAGTAAAATCCCAAAACTATGTAAACAAAGGCTCTCATTTTGATTATAGAGTATATTTAAGGATCATTCTCCTGAGGATTCAATTTAGAAGTTTCCCTTGGGAGAACTAGTGGTTGGCCAGCAGTATTGTACCCTTGATCACCTTCTTTGATTTTAAATTAATAATTCTTAAAATTCTATACTATGGTGTTTTTTTATAAAAGAAATCATAACTTTTAAATATTATATTTCATGCTTGAGAAACTGTATTTTCTTGAATCAAAAGAAAAGAAATATTAGAGCTTGGAGGAGGGAATCGGTACTAAACACAGACCCATTTTTAAAATAAAAATGTTTTTAAAAATGGATATTTTTCTTGAAAAACCACTGTATTAGAACCATCAAATGCTGTCATTAGAAGTAAAGTTTGCTTTGAGATGTCTAGTTTTTAAATTATAATCATATAACTAATTTATAAAGTGCTCAGTCCTTTGTTACATTTTTTCCCTTTCATGTAAATTTACTTTAATTAATTATCCACATTTATCTACCTAGTTTTTTTAATGTTAATGTTATTATAACTCAGTGAGATGTGAGGTAAAATAATGCTTTTAGACGAATGTTAAATAAAAAATTAAAACTGACATTACTAGTAAATAAATAAATAAATAAACAATTCTCCTGATTTCCTCTCCCCCACTTCCTATTACCCTGCCCCTCTTCAGCCTCTCAGTTTCAGCCATAGAGAGCACACATTTGGTATATATTTAGTGCAGACATACAATGCTTCATTTTCATAGTCTGGCTTACTTTGCTTGGTATTAAATCTTTCATATCTGTCCACAGTTTAAAAAATGTGGTGCTGGGACCATCAAATGGCATAATGGTTATGTCACTGGACTTCCACATAGTCGACCAAGTTTTGACTCCCTGACCCAGTGGCTTAAACTCATGTTGACTGTGTGCGCGTGCTTGCCAAAAATCCCAAGAGGAGAATGGAGGAGTAGAGATTGTGGTGTGGCCATTCTCCTTGGGGTGGGCGGGGAGATTTCTCATTTTCTCTCTGTATCTCCAGGGTGTACAAATATACATTATATATATTTGCTTATTTCTTTATCTTTGTCAGTTGGAGGTTTATCTACTTTGTTAATTTTATAAAAAATTAGTTTTGTATTTTGGGGACCAGCAGTTGGCCTAATGGCTATGTTGCTGGACTCCCGTGTAGATGACTGCAGTTCGAGTCCTGGACCAGTTGGCTTAAACTCAGGCTGGGCGTGTGTGCACGTGTGCCCAAGATCCTGAGAGGAGAATAGAGGAGAAGGGATTGCAGCTTGGTTATCACCCCTGGGGGGTGATTTCTCGCTTTCTGTCTCTCTTTGTCTTTCTAGTGAGTGCATGTGCCCTATAGCAAAAACCTCTCCAGAAAAAAAAAAATAGTTTTTTGTTTTATTGAGTTTTCCCTATTTAAATTTTATTGACTTCTACTCTTATATTTCTTATTCCTTTCTATTTACTTTGATTTATTATTTTTTTAATTTATTTTCTAATTGCCAGGGGACACATACACTGAGCAAAGAGAGAAAGAAAGAAAGACACCCTCAGTGACTCTTGTGGTCACTCCACAATGATTTTTCCTCCATTTGTCCATTCATCAGATTTTTATGCCAAGATACACAACACCTGACATTTTTCAAGCTACTGGGGCCAGAACTCAAACCATAGTCAGCCATATGAAATCTGTTCCCAATGTACAGCATTTAACCAGTGTGCTACAGCGCCAGCCCATATTTTTGTTTTCTTAAATAATTTATATTCTTGACTTGAAACCTCTTCTCTTTGCTAAGGTAAACATTTAGTGCTATTTATTACACCCTCAGAACTGCTTTAACTGCATCCCTTGCATTTTATTATGTTGCATTTTTATTTCTATTCACTTTTCTATATATATTTTTCATTTTATTTTGAGACTTCTTTTTTGACCTATGGATAATTTAAAAACTTGTTATTGGGGCCAGCAGGTGACATGGTGGTTGGAGGCGCTGGACTCCTACATGGCCGACCGTGGTTTCAGTACCAGACCTGGTGGCTTGCTTTCTCACGTCGCCTCTCTCTCTCTCCTTCTCTGTTGTTCTCACTCTGTTCCTCTCTGGTCGAATTAAAATAAATAAATAAATGAATTTAAATAAAATAATTCTTTAAAAAATTGTTGTTTAGTGCTCTGCTGCTTAGTGATTTTCATTTTATCTTTGAGTTATTAATTACTAGTTTGATACTATTATTCTCAGACCATACATTTTGTATGTTTGAGGTTTTTTTTTTTATACTGCTCAAATTTGTTTTATTGCTCAATATATGTTCTATCCTGGTGAACGTGCCATGGACACTTAACAAATGTTTATTCTATTGTTATTACGTAGAGTGTTTTGTTTTTTCCAATTAGATTCTGTAGATTGTTTTTTTTTTCAGGTTTTCAATTTTTTTCTGATTTTATCTATGGTAGTTTTATCTATCTCTGTGAATGGAGTGTAGAAGTTCACAAATATGATTGCAAATTCTTTTTCTTTCTTTAGGTTTATTGTACTTTATTTGAGCATTTTCAAGAATTATGACGATTTATTAATGTTATTTTTGAGTGTATCATTTGGATAGTATTCTCAGTGTTTGCTGTACATGGTATAATATACATACCTAACATAACAATTTACCATCATTTATGCATTAAGTACTTTGAGTAAATTGTAGATGAATTGTTCTCATTTGTCTCTTTATCCTACTCACCTTTTTTTAAAGAATGATTTTATTTAACTTTATTTATTTATTTTAATTTGACCAGAGAGCAACAGAGTATATGAGAAAGAGAGAGAGAGAGCAAAAGTGAGAAAGCAAGCCACCAGGTCTGGGACTCAAACCACGGTTGGCCATGTGGAAGTCTAGCACCCTTAATCACAACACCACCTGCTGGTTCCCCCTACTCACTTTTAAAATATAATTCTCTTAAAGTATTCTACATGCACTGAACAACACATAACATTACGTTGTTATATGTTATGATTTAATCATTAAATATGATTTAAGAATGAGAAAGATAATCTGTTTTATTTACTGTTTTTTACCCATTCCATTGTTATTTTTCCTTTTCTAAAATTATGAGTCGTCTTCTGTTATCATTTTCTTCTTTGGAGAACCTCTGTCCAGTTAATTTTTTTCAATATTTTTATAACTTTATTTATTTGCTAAGATTTTTCTTCTTTTCATTTGTGTCAGGTGAGTTTGTCATTTACTACTAAAATTTTATTATTATAGCTGCTTTAATATCTTTATCTGATAATTGTGACATCTAAAAAAGTTTGGTGTGGTTTTTTTTTTCACATTCAACCATGATTTTACTAATTATTTATATGAGTTTTTATATTGTATGCTGGATGTGTTATATATTATGTTGTACTATATTTATTAGGAAGATATGTATCTTATTTAGTTTTTTTTTTAGCAGATTAGCACAAGGACATATAGGTGTGATGTAAAGATAACTCTTATTAATACATCTTATGTTTATGATAAAAGGATAAAAGAACAAAAGAAAAGATTGTGTACACACATATATGTAGGAAACTATGGAACAATAAGTAAAAATGTTGCTAGTGTATCACTAAGCATTATTACTAAGTAGTGCCAAAAAAGAGAAATGGAAATGATGGCTACGTAGTATTTGTTTGCAGCAATCTAGGGAGAAAAAGGTTCATACACTTGACAATGGCCACAGTCTGCCTTAAAGGGCCTGGAGCTCATGAGGTGTTGTGTAGAAGTGGCTGTTCACAATATAGGCAGGATACCAGCAATGAACACCTTCCTGTTCCAATTGAAAATCCTTATAAGGAGCCTCTTAAGAAATGTATCTTGTGTGAGAAACTTATAGGTTATAAGAATGAACAGCTTTTGTCTCAGTTTATTTCTCCATTTACTGAATGCATTTATGGAAGGCTCATAACAGGTCTTTGTGAGAAGAAACAGAAAGAAATTGCAAAAGTGATTAACAGAGAAGGCGGACTGAGGCTGCAGGCCCGACCCTACCGCAACTCCACGTATCCCCACCATCCTTCCTCCTTGGACTCCAGGTTGGTTGCCTGGGACTTTAAGGCGACCCCACACCCCGCCCCACCCGAAACCCGGATCGAGCCGGCCAGCAGTTCCGGACCCCAGGCGGACTGAGGCGGCAGGCCCGACCCTACCGCAACTCCACGCATCCCCACCATCCTTCCTCCTTGGACTCCAGGTTGGTTGCCTGGGACTTTAAGGCGAACCCACACCCCTCCCCACCCGAAA